AGTCTCCGTCGTTTTGTTTGGGACCGAAGCAACCGGGCGCCAGTGTCTCACATCTCTCGACTCGAGATCCCGCGACCCCGTCAAGTCACCACCGGTTAGGTTACCACTTACCACTGAATACCAATGCAAAAGTGCACTTTTATGTACCTACACCTCTATCTTCACGTCCCTGACGGGTTGTCTTGGAAAATAATACACTCAATAATTATTTATAGGTATGAATAAAGATAAATACTTCAATTATTCGGTATTGATGATGAATAGTTTTTAATATATTTTAGTATTCTTTTTGGTCTAAATGTCCACCATCGAAATCCAGGTCTTTGAATCCACCTTGGATTTAAATGTGATTTAAAAATATTTCAATTTACAAGAGAGTTTTGTAAGTTTTAGGCTAGTGTATAGTCACAACACGTTTCTGAAGTACATAGAAAGTATGTAATTCAATTGCATTCACCTATGAAAAATGTAGAATCATATTTGAGGAGAGTACCTTTTTTTTCACAAAATGTATCTAAAAAGTTTTTTGATGACAAGTAGGTATTGAGAAAAGGTTGATAAACTTTGTTGACTTAGATGAAATAATATTAATAAGGTTTCTAGGTAAAAGGTTCTTAAAGGAAAATATGTATATTAATAAAATTACTATAGATTTTTTTTTTTAAATCACCTCTTGACCGCAGATAAATTGTATTATTCATTATTTCTATAGTTTCTTATTATGATATTTCTCTTTTAAGTTGAATTGTTTTATTGTATTTGTAATGCGAGTGAAGGAAGCAATTTATTTTTCTTTAGTGGCTGCTTTAAAATAATTCCCTTTAAAAAAAATCAGTCATCAGCCGAACGCCTGTAAGGTCTAATAACTTTTGATGGAATTAAAATATTCTGTGTAAGACTTGTATGTATTTTTTTAATATTCATTTGTAAATAGTAACACAACAATGCAAACATTTATGTAACAATATTTTTTTAATTGATTCGGCGCTACCGCTTGTTATCATTTTGGAAAGATTTATGAAAAAATGTGATTATATTTTACATAGATATTATGTTTATTAGCACCAAATACCTATTAAGTGAGTTGAGTTCAATGTTGTCAATAAATGAGAAGAAAATTCCGTTTACATTTAAAAATCTTTATTACATGATAATATATTATACACATACATATTATACGATTTGTTATAACTTAAACAATATTATACTTATAAACCAAAACCTATCAACGTTAAACATTTAATTAACCTAAAAGTAACTATTTTACTCTACATACAAATATATATTGAGTGAACGCCCATAATACTTACTATAATAGTATAGTGATTGTACTGCGGTTGATACAAAGTATATGGTACAAAACCTGGTTATGTTTAATACATTATTAAACATCATAGTATTTACAATATTTAGGAGTATGCCATTTGTTACGATTAGTAAAATTAACATTTAATGTACGACCATGTATAACCGTCTAAACCGATTTTCAAATTACTAGTTTGATGTCGTAAAAAAACAGATGCTTGGTCATTTGCAATAGTACACAGGCTTGTGCCCAAATCAATAGGCTTACAAAAAAATCAAATCGTTAATTAAAATATAGTCATAGAAATTCAGCTTGTTTTTAATACTTTTAATGAAAACGATTATTACGAATTTGGCCCCGTTTATCATAATGGTATTTTTTAAGTTTTTCCAAATTGTTTGTATCTTATAGTTTATCTTATTTTTTTCGTCAAAATTTAAAAATGATGACAATAGTACCTGACGATTTATTATTCATTTAATCGTTCATTTTTCTTTTGTTTTTTTTTAAAATTATTTACACTGCAGTGTGATAAGTTTTTGAATCTCAAAAAAAAAAAAAATATAAAATAATATACAATTTTTTTCAAAAGTATTAATAATTAATGTTTACAGTTGCATGTTTCATAGAAATTTACTAAGACAAGTAAAATCGTTAAAAGAAAATAAAACGATTTTTATTCACAGCGTGTTTGGTATTAGGTACATAGGATATGATTTTGTTAAATAATAATATTATAATATTTATGGAGGAGCTTGATGTGACGCTGTGGTTGGTCGCAGTCACTAAAAATGTGTGCTGCGGTCAACTATCGTCCATCGTGCTCGGATGGGTGACCAGGTGACGAATCCTTGTGCCACATAAAACTCGTGCGATGGAACATCAACCGCTTTAGGTACCAATCGTAACCACCCTTACACAACACATACCCAGTGGCTAATGTTGCCGAGGGTCACAAAAAATAAATATTTATTTAAATACCTGACGAGTAATATTATAACATACGGCCATTATTTCTAAATCTAGTTGTATTCATACAAAATTATATTATGTATTAAATATTAATATAAGTATTTTATATAATAAATATATGGTATGACAAATTAATAGGACTGGGAAATTCAGGTAAAAAAATGTACAATAAAAACCAAAAAATAACCAAAATAAAATAAAAATTATGCAGTAAACAATGTATTTTACAAGGGTAATTTTTACTGGCGAACACAAAAAATGAATCATAAAATCAACAAAAACCTTAAAAATAATAACTACTTGTCTAGATTCTAGTATAATTATTAATTTAAATATATCCATACACATTGCAAATACGCCGACAAACACTACGGCCAATGATTGTCGTTCATATTCGATTACCTATTAAAGGACAGTATTAATGTCGTTTTACCGAGAGCCAAGCTCGAACATTATTATTTATATTTTATTTACACACACTTGAACCACCAACTAACGAGTGACTAGCACACACACACACACACACACACACAAACCATCGCATTTGTATATTTTGTATGATTATAGATCTATTTCCATATAGACCTATATTCTTAATGGAATAATAACGAACTCGACGTTTCCACGGTTACGATGACTGAGAGCTTCTCCGTTCGGTTGCTTCGCAATAACGAATTGTCCTTGCCAAGACTAATAATAATGATAATAATAATAATAATATAATACCTATCCTAACCACCGTAGTAGCAGTTATTTTTCGATTCGACCCTAATTTATTTACCAAACGTATATATAAATTTGTCCCGACACGTCTCCCGAGTAAACCGTCGCAAAGCCGGATTAAGTTACCACGTTGTATAACGCGAGCAACGCGCAATGCACTATACACTTTTATATCATTCCGTCGAAACCATTAAAAGTTTTTCGGTGTGTATACACCTATATAATACTATATAATTGTATATTACTTTCTCCGTTAGGTACGTGTTTCAACTTCTCTTGTCTAGAAAATCGCGAGTAGAAAATGAATTGTATTTATCGGCGCCCGAGGCCAGAAATTATGTCGATATCGAAACTCTGGAGTCCGACATAATATATGGTGCTTACAAACAAGTCGGCAAAGCACGATCTTGCACTTTTATCTTTTTTACCTGAAAAAAAAAACGAGACACGACTGCCCACCGGTGTCGAAATTGTTTGATTATGGTCAACAAATTAATTTACAACCGTTCAACGTTTTAAAGTATCTATTGTGGTCATGTGGGCTGTACTACTAAAAGGAGTATAGTATATCGTGTGCCCACAAAAACAAGGTGCACTTTACAGCTCAGTTATTTATATTACTCGGTGCCTTATACTTATTTTTGAATTCTATTTGCCCGGCAAGAGACTTAACTATTGGATTATACATTTCCGTGGCTTACAATTCATTAAATTTTTATTTTGTGCATGCGCAACAACTTCTCTTTTTTTGTTCCTACCCCGTATTCGTACACATGGTTTAGTGTTCATTTTTATTTTTTAAAAAGAAAGTATTCTTGAAAATATGATTGACCTAATAATGCTATAGGTACACCAGGAAATTGCATAAAATGTTTTAAATATTAATATACTAGCATTATACAAACAACGAAAAACAGTTTTGTTTGTTATTTGTAAAAAGTATGACTGAGGTAAGTTATACTATTGGTGATAAAAAAATGGTAAAATATAAATTTATTTTTAACTTATCAAATAATATTATAGGATTGATACTTAATAGTTTTGCTATTTTTTTAGGAAAAAATGTAAAAAGTACGGATTTGTATTGCTTGCTAAATATTAGTATGACATACAAAGCAATGTTTTCATTTAGTTGAGTTGAATTTATATAGAGATGTACAAGTACGTACGATACATATATCGTCTTGTATACGGTCTTTAAAATGAAAACAAATTGTACTTTTACTTGCAGAATTAAGTACTTAGTATTTTTAATAACACAATAATCCGAGTGAACATTAAATGCTACACATTTTTATTTCACTAATTAATATTATGAGTGATATTATCATGACGTTGTGAATCAATTTGTCATTGTTTTACACTGGTCAAATGCCCATCACAGGTGTTTCTAAGACTCAACGAATAAAATAATACATTTTTAAAATTGAATTTTTTATTATTTTTAGTATGTTATTCAGGAAATTGTTAACTAGGTACATACAGTTAATTATATTCATATAATATCAAATTAGTTAATTTTTCAAAACGTATTGAGTATCTTGTATTTTGAATTTACTTATCAATATAATTTTTTTTAAATTTAAATACTCAATTATTTTATATACTTAAATAATGGGAATTAATGTTATTTGTATATACCTAGATAGAATTTTAAAATTATTTTGCCCATTTCTGAGTGTTAAAAGAAATAAAATAATGCGCATCATGTCATCAACAGAATTTTACGAACGCCTTTCTGTGGTAGGTACTTTTCGGAAGTCGTCAAAATAAATTGGCTTTGACGCCAATCAAATTAATAGACCAACATTAACATCATAAACTGTGATCTGAAATTATAATTTCTATTAATGTAACGGTACGAATTTATCGTTGAAAACATTGATTACATTATTATAGTTAAATGTCTGCCGAAGTCACATTACATCACAGCGCATTAGCGAATAATCAAACTATTATTATTGTTATTAATATTATTATTATGCAGTGATTTCTTATATCGTTGGAAAAATAATTTACCCAGAATATGAAAGTTAAAAATATACACAAGACAGATGTATTCAGCGAGTAAGGAATACCTATAGTTAGTAGTTACCAGCTAACTTTAATTCTAACATACATGTAACTTGTAAGTTACAAACACATAAGTATTAAGTAGTAATAAAATGCATAATAATAATATATTAATATAATATACAACTCTATTCCGCATGTATCGATATCTAATAAAAGTGAAAATATATAGGCATCTACTGTCAACTGTCAAGTTACAAAGGATGCGTTGTGACACTCGATAACGAAAGAGGGAGCAATAAGTTGGTTCTTTCGTCCAAACGGATGATGATCGTTGAACGTAGTTTTTTAAAGTTTATTTTAGGATTTATCCGATTCGTTACCGTCACCCGAACAAACATGATTTCGGTATCCGGTCGATAAAAGTTTGAAAAGTAATTATATATATGTGTGTGTGTGTGTGTGTGTGTGTGTGAATAGAAGTGTACAGTGGCACGTGACGATGATGATGACGACGACAACTCGTAAAGGGCAGACGTGGTAGAGGGTAGAAGTAGAGTATGCATGGTACAGCTGTGATAGGTACATTGTATTCACATAATATATACACGCATAAGTATATATACATACACGTATGCGTGGGTGTGGTCTAGATTGTTTGTTTGGAAAGTTTATTTGCTAAAGTTTATGCCCATCAGACTGAAACTGAAATTTTCCGCGGGTAGGCGATTTCCATTTGAAAGGAAGACAGGTAGAGCGGGAGATGGAGTGTGATTTAGTAGAGAAGAATAGTGTGTGTGTGTGTGTCAAATCCCAAATGCCTATTTTAAGATCCAAGTATCTGGATTATTCGAATTTTAGGGATCTATATTTTTTTACTTGTCTGATCAGATACATAGTTGAACTCGTTGAAGTTAAAGTTTAGCTATTTGATTGGTAACCATCATATGAACTAAAAGAAAATAATAAATACATATTATTCGACTAATATTTAGTAAACTAATAAACGTAAACACACATTCGAATTATTCGCCTAACTCGATGTATGATACTAGACCGTACGGCGTACACTATACGTTTATAAAACAAACTATAGCACATATGTACATATTTGGCATTTTCGTCTGAATAGTTGTCTTAGAGTAACATAAAATATTCTTGACGATGGCAAGACGAAAAAAAATGAAGTCTGGAAGGCCGCGGAAACGCTCATTACCGTACCAGTGGGCGGATGGACCGCGGACGAGATGGGGTGGGTGTGTGTTGGCCCGTCAAGGTTCTATGATCGCAATGGCCTTGAGCTGTTCGGGCCGAGCTGGATGTCAGCTGACCACCTCGTCCGGCGGGTTGTTGGTGAGCGTGTTCCACAGTGGTGACCTGACCGGTCTTGGTGGCGGTTTATCCGTCTGCACGGCCACCGATATCCTGGCGATGGCCAGCACGTGTTGCTAGCTGTCCGGACACACGAGCGCCTCGACCGCTCCTCCGCCGACGACTCCGCCACCGTCGGCCACCGTCTCTGCCCCGGCCACCGGTCCGCTACCGGTGACGCCACCACAGCTGCTGTCTATCTCGCTACGCTCCTCCATGACGGGGTCAAGGTCGCAGGACGCGTACGACCGGCTCTCGCTGCGCAGAGGGTGGTTCCGACCTCCGGACGAGAGTGGCGACGGCAATGCACCGCCACTGGCGTTCGCCCCTGCAGCCAGGTATACGCCTGCAAAAAACCACACGCTCCATACCGTTAATATAATGTTTATATTTATTGATTTATTATTAAACGTGCATGATGTCTGTAATAGTAGGTACAGATTGATAAAAAAAAATAATAAAATAGTAATATTGAACGTAATTCACAAATATAAAGTTTGAAATACAATTATTAAAAAAAAAATTATTTGTTATAGTCAGAATAACTTAAAGTACCCATTGAACGTAGGATCAACTGGATTAATCATATACATTCACACCATATTTATCGTTAACAAGAGGAATGTCAACGGGAATGTACAAATTCGTGGAACGAGCTGAAACTCTAATATAAATTTGAAATAGGAGAGAGGGGGCATCAAAGTGTTCAGGTGTCAATCTATAATATCGTCATGTCATATAATGTATTAAACTTATTTTCAATTTATACCTATGATATATAATTATAAGTTTAGGATCGATAAGAAATAAGTTCAGAATGTAATCCAACCGTTTTTTATGTATAAGCAGTGATACTTGTAATTCAGTGGTGAGATCTTGGGCGGTGGTTGCATGATGGTACAGTGGAGGTGGGTTGTCTCGAGAGTAAATGTCTGGCGATGAGTTTAAAGTTAGGTATAGGAAAACTGCATTACGATTCTCATTTGTACATGACATAAAGCCAATATAATAGTATTATAAACATAATACGAATACATTTTTTTTGCACAGATATTTACGAAATAATATGTTTTGGCAATTATTTTTATCCGTCACTTATCGATAATATCTCGTAACTATACGCTTTTATTTTTGTAGTACAATAATATAATAATTATACCAATATAATCATTATATTATATGAACAGTTTTTCATACACAACACAGTTTTTCATGATTTATGTCATTATACCTAATACACGTATACAGTTAAATATTTTAGTTGAGAATTTAATGTAGTTTTCTAGAGATTTTCACCACTTATATAATTACAGATAGGTACCGGATAACCTGCTGAACAATAGCATACCACGTCATCTTGACATCGTGCGACGGTTGAGTAGATCTTAAGAAAAGTAAGATACCGAAAAGAAAAATATAAGAAAAAAGCGGACACTAAGCTATTATATTGACCAAAACAGAACAATGAACGACGAGTGTTTTGGGAAACGTGAACATTCTTTCGTTTTCGAAAAATAAAAAAAAATACGTTATGAGTAAAATAGAATACCCCTGTATTCCTTCTGATGTTGTTAAATTTTTAACTAATTGTACTACAGTAATGATATGTTATTTTTTGAAATGAAGAATTCCGTTATATTTTCAGTAGCCGTGTCACATTCAATACAAGACGTAGCAACTATCCAAAGAGTTTTATTTACTCTTCAATACAATGTTATCAATATTCACCTTTATGACCTTTCCAAATAAATAATGTACCCAAGCATCTGAAGTTCTGAATAAGTTCTGAATATTTTTCAAATTTTTCTTAATGTCTCACAACATACAATCTACATCATAATGACATTGTATAATTATAAAAACTGTTGCAGAGATAGGTTTAATAATCTTTAAACCTTCTAAATGAAAAAAATAAGTACCGAAATATGTCTTGTGTGTACGACATAATTTACAATACAGAAATTGGTGACGATATGAAAAACTATTCACTTAATATAGGGAGAATTAGAGGGACTTCAGTGGAGATCAAGCTGTCATAACGAATATAATTTAGCTCTTCTAAATTAAAATCGAATTAGTCCTGAAACGGACAAAAAGCATGTATAGGCAACTCGGTGCGAAAATTCAATCAGCCTTTATACTGTCAAACACTTGAATTCGTTAACACCTAGTACGGTCGCCATTATAAACGTATTATGCATATTATATACATAGACTGCGTTTTATCACGCGACGTGTCCTTTAATTTTTAACAAAATATTAAACCTTCATATCGTCTTTCGGTATACGGATAATTCACAAGGACACTCTAAGTAGGTAAATTATGAAAACCAGACTAGCATAATAGGTGTTGAGTGTACCTCGTTTTTGAATAGGTCACTATAATGGATGTGTTAATAATTCGAGTTTAATACAAAAAAAACGATATTGAGCGGAGACGGTCTGTCATTCTTTTATCAACCATATACAAGATGGGGTTTTGACGAATTTCAATTTTAGTTTATTATTTAAATCGTCAGAACCCACTGTCCCACCCTGTATTATTATATATTTATATTGCTGTTGTAACTGTAACACTACTGTAGTTATTTATTTTACTATTATTTTAATGCTGTAGATCGACTTAATTTTTAGGCCAAAAATGTCCCATTTATTATATTTATATGTATATTTATTATAATTGATTTTTGAATGAATATCGACTGACCGTAGAACTGTGTAAATAGGTATTCGTGGCTTAAATATAAAGTAGACAATAGCTTAAAATGTATATGAATGGGTATTTTGAAATTGAATGTTAGCCCACCGATCTCCGCTCCCAGGTGGACGCGTACCTAGCGATAGGGAAAGTCCACTTGGTAGCGAAGAAGGGCGCATCCCAGGATGCCTATTGCTGTAAAACATTTTTTTTTTTGCACAATAAACGATGGGGACCCGGGGGAGAAGCAATGCCAACACCAGTTCCTCCCCCAGTTCTTAATAACAAGGAAAAAAAGGTATTTTGAAATTTCCATTGACAAGTATAGTACTCAAAATAAAATAAAATAAAATACCCAAATGTACCTTTGAATCAATTCCCCAAAAATAATAATTTTGAACGATAGCAAACCTACAAAAATCGTCATTTTTTGTTTAAATATTCAATTTTTTTAAAACTTAAATTTTGTTTGCTATAGGAGAAAATTTGCTTTTCATAATAAATATATTTTTCAAGATGTTTATGTTTTAACAAGTAGGAATTACTTATGAAGAACCTTGTATTATATTTTCAAGTCATTTGGAGGATTCTAAACATTTTTATCAACACTTAAAAATCCATTAAGTTATAATTTTATCAAAATTTAAAAATCAAATAATAAATTATTGTATATTTACATTACTTTTTTTAAATTCCAGTATAAATAGAAGCAACTTTATACAAATCTAGTATTTACCGTTCTTGATTTTTAATCGAGCTGCATGCATTTTTTTCTTTTTTAAAATTAAAAAAAAACAAAAAATGACTTAATTGACCCAAAAGGAGACAACATATTTGAAATTTATCATGTTATGTACAGAAAATGCTAATTTGATAAACTATCTATTGTATGATTATTCATTTTTGAATTAAAAAAAAATAGAATTTGTCAAAAACTGGTTTTTGCATAAAAATTCTAGTTCTTCTCAATAATTAAGAAAAGTACTGGGAATTTTTTACTTTTCAAGTCCCCAATGTACCAAATTAAATCATTTTTAACAGAAATAGAGATGAAAGGAAAAAACAAATAATGATAATAAATAACACACACCTAGGTATTGTTAAATCAATACTTTCTTCGCACCGCTCTATAATTAAAAATAAATTGTGACATTAATTTCTACCATTTGTGAAATAATGTCGAATCAGTAGGAGGTAAGTAACTTATAATATATTATGTTATTAGAGCACATTTATATACGTTTTTCTTGCACCATTGGTGATTAAAATTAATTATAAGCTAGGTAAATAAAAACACATACAATACTTGCTTTGATAAATTATAATATAATTCTTAAGCAATTTAATTCTTAAATACAGAATTGAAGATCACTGTTTTTATTTTCAACATATCATTAAATATTATGAATAGTTTTATGTTTATTTTGTAATTTTGTAATTGATTTTAATTTATCTACCTACCTTAACTTAACCTAACCTAACTAACAAAGCCTAAGTCAATCTAAATACGTCATTGTCGTAAACAAAATATCATGTTTTGTCAAATGAGCTGCAAGAGATATCTAATCAAGCCAGAAAATAACGGGATTATTCAAGTAATATAGGGACCTATGGTCGCGGTTACTTTAGCATTATTATACATGGCCACGCACTTATAATAACCTACGACCCCAGCTGGTGAGCCCCTGAGGCAGCGGCACGGGTTATAGGATTTATTTATGTGGACCTAACGATAACAGTTGGGTAAATCATTGTCATTCGGATAAGTCCTAACTTTGACGTTCGTTATAAAATATTATAATACGTCGACGGGAGTAATATACCTATTCTACTTACTCATTTAGGATATTATAATATGCGCACTGTCGTATAGTTTATAGGAGTTTGCTATTTTCTAAGTATAATTGACTCGTCCAATAAATAAATCAACAACTTCGGAATTGGTTTCCTCGTGAAACTATACTTTGTGTACTATATAATAATATAATACACGTAAAGCCGTAACAAAAATAGCGAGAGACCATGATAAAAGTGTGCCTATAAAATATTATTATAATTTTTCATTTAGTTGTACCGATGACGTATATTTCAACTAGTTGCGTAGATGTTTCTCACTTAGAGAGGGGGGAGGGGGTTAAGAAGAGTTCATATTCTATACCTATGTATAAACGTTTCATTTATAACCTATAAATACACTAAAAATATTCATCTATTTTTACTTTTGAATGTTTATACCTTATTGTTTCTTACAATATAAAGGTCTAACTTATCTTATTTTATCTTGAGGAAATTGATTTCCAACTTAAATATATTTTTTAAGTTGTTTAAAATGTTTTCGTTTTTTTTATGATATTGAAAAAAAATGTAATTAAATTTTAAAGTTTCTGGTTATATTATTAAAATAAATACGATTCATCAATGTAAAATTATATACAAATTATTTGTGTAGAAGAAACATTTTGTAATTTGTACAACGTTCTATACTATAATATATTGCAATCGTTTTTCTATTACTAATAATATTTATATAGAAATTTAATACTTGTTATAATAAAAATGATTATACCCACACCAGTGACTAGTGGTATTTGAAAATTAGTACTACTAATGCTAATATTGATAAGAACCCTGATTTCGAAAATTTGAAA